GGAGTTTTTCATTAGGACTAAGAGTAAATACAGGAAATGAGGATGAAAACTATATATACAGGCTGGGTTATTACTTATCTGAAATCCTTTGGGACCAGAAGCATTTTAGATTTTGGAGTTTTTAAATTTTGGAATATTTATATATTGTATATACACTTGAGATAACTTGAGAATGAAATCCAAGTCTATAAATGAAAATTTGTGTTTCATATGTGTCTTATGCATGTACCCTGAATGTAATGTCAAAGAGATTCGATGATTTTGTACATGAAAGAAAGCTGTACACACAGAATGATTAATGTGACCATGACCTCCCAAATAAGGTCAGGTACAGAATTTTCCACTTGTGCTCTCATACCGATGCTCAAAGCGTTTCAGATTTTGGAGAGTACTGGATTTCAGGTTTTTGGATTAGGGATGTCCAACCTCCATTTGTTATAGTCTCTGATAATGAAGATATAATTCAGCTGTCAAAAATGGTAAAAGGGAGAGAATAGTCAGAAGGTAAGCCTGATGGTTGCCTTAAAGGTATTACTTAGCACTTAAAGGCTATCACTTTCGATGCTGTAGAGGGAGAAGAAGAAAATGTTATTAATTCCAGTATCATTCATAGAAGGGAACCAAAATGTATGCAGCTTCCAATAGGTTGGCTGACAGTCACAGGTGCTTATTTATACTTAATTAATACTTATAAAGTTGAAGCCCCATTTATCAATCACACGAGCCACATTTCAAAACCTACATAGCTATGTGTAGCTTGTGGCTATCACACTGGATAATGCAGATACAGAATATGTCCACCATAATAGAAAGGCCTTTCGATAGTGCTGCAACTGTCAGAAGTATTTGTAAAAAAACAAATGAAGATATTAACCTGAGATACCAGTCTAACTGTAACCATGGAAACCAACACAATGCCAAGGGAAAAAAGAATTTAGAAAACAGGCAGCATAGAGGGATACTGTATACATATATAAAGAAAAACAATACTAAAACCAAGTGATTAAAAATGGATTTAATTCACCAATTCAGAAAGTGCAGCAAAATCCCATAAACATACATGTATGTTCTCCTTCCTCCTCTATATGAATATATGAAACATATTTATAAAACATACCTAAAACAAAAACATTCTGATGATGGGAAAAATATGCCAGGCAAATCCAGATTAACAGAAGCAAATACACAGCTCACGATCTTTACATCAGCCATGGTAGAAATCTTGTCAGGAAACACTCAAAGACAAAAACTCAAAAGCTATAATGCACAAGGTGTAACAATATTTATACAGCCAGTAGTACAACAACTTTATGAAGCATAAGATGCCAGAGATTAAAAAACAAGATGAAACTATACCACTCATAGGAAGTGTTTATGTAATTTTCCAGGCTAAGATAAATCCAATGGACAAAATTAATGATTGAGAACATAGAAAGCCTAAGCATATTAACAACAGAGCAGAAACCCTATCTCCGCACCCAGCTGAGGGAAATGCCTTCTTTACAAATGTGCATGGAACATTCATAAAAGCGGAACATGTTAGGCCACATAAAGGATGTGAATAAATTAAAAAATATAACATCCTGATTTCTGGGTAATCAACTATAATAACAAAAGTTACAAAACAAAAAGGCCCTCTACTTGAAATTTTTTTGGAGTCTTGCTGGGGATTGAATCCAGGGTCTTGTACTTGCTAACTACACAGTGTACCACTGAGCTACATCCTCTATCTGAAAAATTTACGATAACTCTTTTTAAGCTGGGTGCAGTGGTACACGCCTATAATCCCAGTTACTCGGGAGGCTGAGGCATGAGGACTGTGAACCACTGAAGCTAGTCTGGGCACACAGCAAGACCTTGTCAGAAAAGAAAGGGGAAGGGAAGGAAGGGCCTTCTTAAACATAGGTCTAGGGCAGCACGTGTGCTGCAGATCTGCTGTTTGTATCATTGAAAGCTCTGAAAGATTTGCCCTCACTGGTTTAGGGCCAACCTCATAAGCCTAGAGGAAACAGGAAAAATGCAGACTTTTTGGAAATAATGGTAATGAAAAACGACACAGTAGAATCTGTGGTATATGAGAAACAGTAAATACAAAAAAATGTACAGTCTTAAAAATCTATATGGAAATAAATCAGGCTCACAAGCCTAAATGTCACATGGTTTCTCTTATATGGAAACCCAAAGTATAAATAAAGAACAAAATAGAAGATCATGGGAAGTAGGGAGACGGATCTTTCTCAAAGGGGAAGGAGACCAAGAGATGGAGGGGAGGACTGAGACAGGGTGAGACAGGGACGAACAGAGTGTCACTGGCCGGGCCGACTCCACACAAGGAGGGCGAACATTGCATGCAACAACATGCACAAAAACAGGAAGTGCGACAACATGTACAAAAACAGGAAGGGGATCAAGAGATGGGTAGAGGGGGCGGGAGAGGGGAACGGGGATGAAAGAAGTAATTAAGATCCAATTCCCCACAAGGAACACAAACATTATGTACTAAGAATATGTGCCGATAAAAAAAGAAATTAAAGTCTGTGATACCAAACTCCTGCCCTGCCCTCAGGTCTCCTTGTTTTTTTGCAGGTTCCAGGCCTGCTTCTTTTGCTACTGTATCCAGACCTCCCAGCACAGTTCCTGGTGGTGAGCAGTATTTGGTAAACAAAATGTTGCAACAGTTTCCCAACCCAGGGTTCTGAAAACTACCAGGTCTCTCGAGTTCCTCCTGTTCAGGCACCACTGTCAGGCGTCCCCAGGAGGCATCTGTACAGTCGTTGCTCCCGCAGACTGTAGTGTGAAAGGCAAGGGTTAGGATAAGACACCGCCCCGACATGCTTCTCATCTGTCCCCGGTGCACAAGAACACAAGGTGTTCTCTTGCATAGCTCCCACATGCCATTTTCCACTGACCTAGCCCCACCCTCCGCCTTCTCAGGTAACCCTCAAGTCCCCCTCCCATGTCTCTGTGATGAAGTTGTGCCCTGAAGTCACACAGGAGTGGGACCCAGGACTCCACTGGCTCCCTCTCTGGAAGGTGCCCCCTTGTCCTGCTGAAGTGCTGTTTGAAGGTGCAGGAGCAGGGGTTTGGGAGGGGACAGGGTAGGCTGTACTGTGCCCCGCACCAGTCATGGAAGTGGGGAGCAGCCTGGTCAGCACCCAAAAGGTGGGGGTAGTTCCACACAGGAGGATCTCCACTGGGGCTGACTGCAGGAGCTTCCCAAGCAGGGACAGACCCGGAGCCCAGGCGGGGAGGGGACAGAGCCACGGGGCTGAGGGGTTGCGGAGGCAGGAGCGACAGGGTGGGATCGGTCACAGGGGCGTGATTCCTGGAGCTGCCAACAAAGCTGCTCGGAGCTCACTCACTCTAATGGTTTTCAAAACATACTTCCAGGAACACTGGGGTTTGGAGAGCTGGATTACTATGAGGAAAAACCTTCAGTGCTATTTCCAGAGTCAGAAATGTGTGAAGTCCCTGGCACTCTCTCCCATGCCGTGTTCCAATACAGTGACAGGGCGACTGCCTGTTCTCCTTGCTCACCACCAGGACGTCAAACATAGAAGTGGACTCGGCCCAAGTTCTATGAAGCATCATTCATTTAATCAGTCAACATTACAAAGTGTTCATACCATATCCAATCTCACGAGGCCTGTGTGTGTGTGCAGGGGTACCTGTCGAAGAAAGGAACCTTACCCTCTCCCTCCTAAGATGGGCAACCCGAAGGCCCCCCATGTCAGTTGCTTGCCTGGCCTCTTGCAATGCCAGGTGCTGGGGGCCATGGACCAACAGGCTCAGGCCTGCGCCTCTGGGGTGAATGAGGCTTTGTAGGACAGGTGTGCATAGGCTTAGCACCTGAAGAGGCAGCTGATCCACCCGACCCACAAAGCTGCGGGGACAGAACGGAAACGGTTCCTGGATACGATCACAAGACACTGGAAGGGAGAGAGAAACCGAAAATCATCTGCCAGCTGGGAAAACTAGAGGCACAGGTACAGCGGGCACTGGAGGAAATGATAAAGACCAGGCTTCCTTGCTGGTGCCGCCTGCCAGGGCAGCAGCGGGGCTGAGGGCCGAGGGAGCCCAAAGGGCTGCGAGCAGGTCCAGCAGCCTGGGTAGGGCGCATCCTCTGGCCAGGCATCTCCTCCTTGCGCAGTGACAGTAACCCACACACAGGACTAGGCAACCAGGTGAACACAGCAAGACATCCCACTGCGGGCCAAGGGCGAGCAGAGTTGGAACTGCAAGACCTGGGAAGGGGCGAGAGGGGACAGGTAGAGGCAAAGGGAAGCACCGCACAGGGGCTTGCTGGGGCTGGCCAGGGAGCTGGGGGTCACTGTGCCCTGAACGGAGCCATCTAACATGATGACTGAGCAATGTGCTTTTCTAACACTGGGCGCTGTCAACCAAGGTGCCAGCTGTGACCCGTGGCACTGCAGCTGGAGGCATGGGGCTGGCTCTTGTGGTGGTAGCAGAGAGACAGGGCAGCCCTGGGAAGCCTGTCCAACTGGGGACCCTCTGGGGCAGCAGTATGGGAGGGGCGCTCCTTCTTCCCAGGAGGCTGCTCAGACTGGATTCCCGGTTGGGCCCTGGGTGCTCACCACGTCAAAGTCACTCCTGGTTCGGCACCTTCTCCAGGAGGATGTCCTCTGTACCACAGAACTGAGGGCAGGAGGAGGAGAGAGGGGTGATCAGACCAGCGCCCCAGGGCCCCACTCCATTCTAGCCTGGGCACTCACTGGCAGGACCGGGGTGTGGCACAGCTTCAGCCTGTCACTGCCATCAGCAAGACTTTCCTGCTCCCCAAGGGTTTCCGTGGGGCCCTCGGGGACGACAAGCCCTTTAGTTCTAAGTCCTGTCTGGTCCAGCCCTTTATAAACTTGCAGTTGTGAACCCTCCCCTATTTCAGTGTTCGGTGCTGGGGTAGAAGGAAAAACAGGCACAGAGTTGCCAGGGGCAGGGCCACCCTAGACCACCCGCCTGGCCCTGGGGAGCCCAGCGCTTGCCTCGATGTGGTACACTACACGCCATAAGGTGGAGTCGCTGGCTCGGTATACTCTGTCGGAGGGGTAGTGTTGCCACATCAGAGGCAGAGGGCATGAGCGGAGCTGGGTGGGGCTCTGGGGGTCCCCCACGGTGACCGTTTCCTGCCGCATGAGCACCTGCATGTTATTCTCTGTCTGCAGAGGAAAGACAGGGTACACGTTCAGGTCCCACTCACCAGACTCCTCCAGGCCTGAGACTGACAGGGTCCTTCCTGCTCCCCGCAGCCCCAGCCTGAGCTGACAGAAACCAACGCAAGAGGCAGGCGACCACCGTGCCTGATGCTCAGCCCCACGGGCAGTGCCCACTGATGGCAGGGACTCTGGCTGGGACAGCACAAAACTAGCCACTCAGACAGAGTCACAGAGGGTATGCTTGCTCCTGCCAGGCTTCCGGTGCCGGTGTGGGCCACACGGCCCTTGGCTTGGGACCTATTTACCTGGAATTGGGGCTTTTTTACATTTTTTCTATTTCTTCCTTTAGATAAGATACCCCTGGATCCCAGATTCTACTGACATTCTTCACTCTCCTGACCCCCTACCATGTTTATCTCCTGCACTCCAGCAACTACCTCCTGACTTGTTGCCTTGCCTGCCACAGCCAGGTCTCTGCAAAGCAGCCCAGCTGAGCAGCTGAAAATCACAGCTCCTTCATGCTTCGCATCATGGGCAGAGCGATACTGCACTCTTACCATGGCCCATGGATCCACAAGGGCCCCCGCAGCGGGCTCCACCTCCCTCCACTTTGTTCCAGCCACACAGGCCTCCTGGCCACTTCTGGGACCGGCCACACTCATGCCCGCTCCCACCAGTCCGTCAGACCACCATTCTGCCCGCCCAGAACTTCGTTCCTGGATCTACACAGCTCACAGCCCTCTGCTAGGCAGGCCTCTGCTCAAGTGTGCGTCTGTTACAGACAAACAGGACATGTGCCTGAGTGGAGACCCAACACAGTTTTATCAATAACTAAAAATGAGTCCCGGGGCTGGAGATTTAGCTCAGCGGCAAAAGCGCCTGCCTGGCAAGCGCAAGGTTGTGAGTTCGGTTCCCGGTACCGGAGAAAAACCAAAAACCAAAAAAAAAACAAAAAAAAAAAAACAAAAAAAACAAAAAAAATGAGTCCCTTTTAAATATTCAAGGAAAAAAATCAGCAAAATCGAACTCTATGATATCCATTTAGGCAGGCCCCGAACAAAGATTCAGAAAGGTAACAGAAAATGAGGGCCAACAGTGTTAACCGCGGCCACCCACATGTATTTCTTCTTCCTACACAATTTAACCACCAGTGTTCCTCCCGTCTGTGTCCCCCAGCTGTGTCCACTTCCCAACCCAATCCCTGCAGACCCTCACAGCCACGTTCATTCAATGAGTGTAAAGGCATCTTCACGTTTATTCAGTGAGTATGAATCAAGTACTAGCATTTGCTCAGTATTTTCTCAAGGTGAAAATAGTTTTGTAAAAATTTTTGCCAATGAAATAGTTTTTTTTAAAAAAACTGGAAGATCATTGTACACGATGTAAGTGCCCTGAAAATCACTATTCTTGCTGTGTTATATTGTCTTCTAGATCCTTTCACCACTTTGTTTCAATTATTCTTTTCCTTTTAATTTAACCAAATCACTACATATCAAAACACCGTTTCTTTCTCCTATGAGAGGCAAATCCTGCCCCAAATGTTGCTAATGGGTTATTTTTCAGATGAGACCAATACCATGAAAATCTGCTGGCTTCATCGTTTTGGTGAGAAGATATTTCCCAGTTAGAGATTTAAAATGAGATCTACCAAAATATTTAAAAACTTCACCAAAAAAGAGGTAAACAATTAAATTGCTTTTTAAAAAGCCTGTATGTATCCTTAAAAAACTGAAATGGCAATCAAAATGCAAATTCAGTTTGCAGTTAAGAGCCTGAAAATGCAAGCCCTGGCTGACCCCTGGGGCAGGTTTACATTTAAGCTTCAGGGTCTTCATCTGCAAAGTGGAGACAAAGTCAACACTCAGTGTGGGTCTGCTATTATGTTTCGTAAATAGTCTACAGTATACATTTTCATTGTTCTTTTCCACCTTTCCTTGGTTTATGTATGGCGAGTTTCACCACCAAAGCTTCAACTGCTTTGAATAAACCCAAGCTGATTGAAAATACTTACATATTGAGGATAGCGATACGCAGTGTAACAACCACTGTTGATTTGTATTAATTTGTCTTGAGACCCTGTATCACTTTGAATGCTTTTGCTTTGATTTGTTTATGTTCGTGATACTGGAATGCCGCTACTGTTCTATTTTTTTGTTGGTTTGTTTCTCACGTACTACTCTCTTTAAAATAAAAATAATAATAAAAAAAGAAAATACGTACATAAAGGAAATATATATGTTTTACAGTACTAGGGATTGAATCTAGGGCTTCATGCGTGCTGGGCAGGTGCTCTATCACCGACCTACATCCCCAGCTCTTGTCCTCTTTTTCTTTAAATTTTGAGGCAGGGTTTCCCCAATTTGCCCAGACAAGCCTCAGACTTGTGATCCTCCTGCCTTAGTCTACCGAGTGGCTGCATTCCAGCCATGTTTTGAGTTATATGTTTTCTCTTTTTTCAGTTATTTTTCTTTTAAAATAACAACTAAAGATCTATCGTCATTCTCACCAGCACGCATTCCACACCAGCTTTGCTACTACTATGTTGGCAGGTTTGTTCCCGAGCGTAGGGGAGGCACGAGCTCCCCTCGTCCTAGGCCCTGGTTCTCCATCTAGTGAGGGTGCTTTGTAAGTCAGAGGTTTTTTGGACCAGTTTAAGAAGATTCTGGCGATTAGCCCCTACACCACTTAGTTTAAAGATATTCCCGCTGCACGGATTAGAACCCGGAAGCTCGCCGCCACACACTCCCGCCAGGGTCCCGACTTGGCCGGGGCCCCTCCTGGCCTGCCCGCCCTCCTTCCTGGCCTGGAGACTGCAGCCGGCAGAGCCCTGCTGCAGGCAGCTTCAGAGGGTGCTGGGCAACCCGGGCAAGGGGGGTCCCTAGCCCCTGCACCCCACAGGGCAGGAGGCCTCCTGCGGCCCCAGGGTGGGCTGTACCTGGAGAATTATCGGCAGCCAGGTGCGCCGCTGCTCATCCATGAACGTGACCTTGTCCCATATCCACAGGCGGCTGGGGTGCTCGGTTAGGTGCTTTAGCTGCCTGTTGAAGAACAAGGACTCGGCCATGGCGCCTGGGCAGTGCAAAAACAAAAACGCAACCTCGGAAGGCCGCTCGCTGACCCCCGGCTGGTCTGTAGTAGCTTTATAGCCAAGGACACGTGGGCGCCCCCGGGCGTCGGGGTGATGGAGGGCGGGGCGCGAGGCTGGTGGGCGGGGCGCACGTGGAGCATGAGGCAGGAGGTCAGGGAGAGGGGCGGGGCGCAGGGTGAGTGGGCGGGGCCGTGAGGCCAGACGCTCGGGGCACCCAGGATGGAACGCCCCACCAGGCCCCAGGCCTCAGCCAGCCTTCTCTTCTTTGCACTCTCCGCTGCTTCCTGGAGAGATACTCAGGTGTCCGCCCTTTCCTCTTGGGGGAGAAGCTGCAGCTGTCTTCTGCTCCTCTTGGGCTCTGCAGTCCAAACCAGCCACTGTGTGTAGCTGCTCAAGCCACACTCTGAACTCAGGCTTCATAGTGGACCCTAGGCCGTCCAGCACCAGGGCCCTTTCTCATGTTCAGGGATCAGAAGAGAACGCAGGAGTCGGAACCAGGTCCGTGGTTTCCCAGCTCCCCGGAATCACCTTCAGCCTGGGGTTTTGGGGTGTCAGAATCAGTTTTCTTGGGAGAGTGTAACTCTTGAAGCTCCCCTCCCTTTCCCACACCCAGAATATGCATTTTTCCATGGCTTTGATGATACTGTGGTCATGTAATAGCCATTGCGAAACATGGTGTGGAAGAAACATGGGTTTTCCCTTTATTCTTTAAATTCATTAGTAAACGCATCATTTGAGATGAATGTGTCAAAAGAAACCCTTCCCTGCAGCCCAAGATCAATGGATTTGAAAAGTCCCTAGGTTCCACGATCAAACCGATCTCTTTGTAAATTACAATAAAGAATAGAGAGCAATTGCCCTTTATTCTGCTGTTACACATGCCCATGAAGGCAATTAAGAAAGTGAAGTGTCATGAGAAACGGGGAAACCAGCTCCAGGCTTCTCACAACAGCGCTGCTGATAGCCGGCGGATGCCTCACCTAGCTACTCTCCGCCGAGGCTGCAAGAAAACAACCTGTGACCTCTGAATGTCACGCAAGTAAAAACGACCCAGTCCACCTGGCAAGTGGGTTCCGCTCTGCCCTTCTAGACAGCACAGTGCCCGAGCTGATGGGGATGCGGCCTCCTTTCAAAGAGCTGTGGTGGGATGAGCCAGGGACTCAAATGGAAGACAAAGCCAAATGCAGCCTGAGGTGGGGCAGGGGCTGTGAGCCCAGCCAACCTCTCTTCCAGCGGGCTCCTTAGTGGTGCTCTTGTTTAGTATTCAGACTTGCAGCTTTCAGGATGATTTCCCTGTGGATGGCTCTTTGACTCCAGACCCAGATAACCACATAATAAGATGAAAGCCTGGGGAATAAGCTTTGTTGGAGAAAGGCTCAGTCATGTCCAGGGTTTTGAGGTCAGAACGGGGCCATCGGGATGGTCTTGTGTGGCAAGGGAAGGGGCCCCTGAGGAGCCAGGATGGCCACTGAGCTAGCCACAGGGATGGAGCCTGTAACTGGCCCCAGCACTGACGATGTAACTGAATCTGTCTATTTCATTTGCGTTCACTCTGTCTTTCTAAGGGGCAACAAAGAAAGAAAGAATGGAAAAAGAATCAGATCCCTTTGGCTAAATAAGTTTCTGCATGTTCTGGGAATATGGTTCCCTTTTCCCTCACTTTGAAAAAAAATTCTTTAATTTTGCACAAGGGCTTCTTAATATTGAACAAGAGTGCACATCATTATTGTGTGGGATTTAGAAAATTATTTGAGAAGAGTTTCCAGAAAATGAAAATCAAATCAGATGACTGAAGCATTCAAAGACGACTTCTGTGGAGGCCAAGGCCCTTGCTCAAGGAAATTCCCCAAGAGGGGAGACAATAGCTATTGTGTGGCTTTCAGACAGGGGCGTCTCCCCAGCCTGTTATCTACTTCATCTCAGGGCTCCCGTGCCAGTCAGCCTAGCTTTAGAATTTTCTGTCCCTTTCTGAGTTTTCCCTTTATTAGTCTCAGGTTCTCTGAGGGAGACATAAGTGGATGTTCCCAAAACAATCATTTTGACCGAATTCCTTATTTGATGCTTTCATGTCCCACCTTAGGACTAGTTTTGACTTTACCACTGTCACCTGTGAGCTTGGACTAGTTTTGACTTTACCACTGTCACCTGTGAGCTTGGCCAGTCCTTGGCCAGTCCTCAGCTACCCTGCTTTTGTAACGAATAGGCTGAGCTAAATGCACTGTAAGCTCATTTCTCACAAAATCCGTCTCTGATCCTCCAATAAAGTTGCCCAGGGGAAGAGGGAACAGTTAACAAAGAAAAAGAATAACTCATAACACTAGTTCATGAAAGCCTATGGTTTTGAGCACATATTTGAGCCCTCAATCTCAAGCACGTCCATGGAGTTCACTCTTCAGGAGCGAGGAAGCTATCCTTGTTTGGGTCCCAGAAAGGGAGTTAAGAGGGAATCACAACTGCCAGGATAATCCACGGGGACTCTAAGCAGCACCTGGAGCTCATGAGGACTGCAGAATCTGAGCCCCCTCCTGGCCTCATGAGCCAGAATCCTCACTGCACAAGACCCCAGGTGATTTGTGAACCTGGTGAGATGAGGTTTGACCTATGGGGGAGGATGCCTATGTCTCTAGGAAACAGGAGTAATATATGTATTTTTGTTTCACTTAATTCTCGGCTATCTTATTCTCTGTCAAAATGAATTCTCATGTACTAAGTGTTTTCCTCTTAATAGGAAATCCGGGTCACCAAGTTCATCCTACCTGTTGCCAATGGTTGCAGCAAGGTGTAAAGAGATGATGCAGAAGCTATGCAGGTGTCCTGGCCAAGGAACCCTTTACTAACTGTCCCTAATCCATCGACATTCACCTGGGAAGCTCTAATAACATACCTGGGCCTAGGTCCCACTCCACACTGAGTATATCAGAATCTCTGAGGTTGAAGCTTGAGTATTTTACTTTTGAAAAAGAACTAACTTCTTGGGTGATTGTCTCATACAGTGAGGCATAAGTACCATTGGGGTAAAATCTGAGTTACAGATTTATAAAACTAAATAACCATGAAAATGTCAATGCTATTCTTTCTACCATTAATTTTCATTGTAAACTTCACCCTGATCCCATATTTTATTTCTTTTACTCTAAAGTTGCTGATTCCAATCTTTCAGGGACAGGAAACCAGAACACTAAGTTTATTAGAACTGTAAGGGTCTGAGATCTCACAAAAGCCCTGATATGTAGGACCGATGCTAGTGCTAGGAGTGGATTTTTTGGTTATTTGTAGGTATGGGCCATATTTCAGATAATTAAAACTGTTGATCAAGTGAGCTCAGGGTAAAGAGACGTTACTACTACCTTTACTCCTACGGGATGGACTTGTATCTTCTCTAGATGAATAAAGAACTGGGGACAAGGATATTCCAAGTAGAACTCAGATGCTGACCCCAGCTTTGCCATTGCTTAGCTACCATCTATCTCTCCTTTAATTTAACAGAGTTTTAAGTTTTAAATGTTTCTCTTACTTTAAGATGTACACAGGGCCTTGTTAGAATGCAGATTCTAATTTCAGTAGGTTTGGGGCAGGCTTCAAGATTCTACATGTTTAAAGTGTTCCTCGGTGAGGTAAATTCTAATGGCTTACAAAACACTTACTGGTAACAAGGTCCTATACCAGTGGTGGAATACCTGTGGCACATATGTTGTTTTTGTTTTAAAACAAAAGATGTTAATATACGAGATTTTTTTTTTTTTTTTTCAAACCAAAACCTCAGTATTCAGGTTTAATTGCAGTGTTGGCACTTTGTGTGAGGTGAGTTTTGGATTGCCATTTGGGCACTTGTCTCTAAAAGGTTTGCCATCACTGCCCTAGCTTAATCACATTCCAGCCTGATTCATGCACAAAATGCAACTGCAAAAGCAAAACACCGTCCATAAGCATCAAAATGTACACAATGGTACTCAATAGATGAGCCTTGCCAGCTGGTGAGAAGCACGTATAGTAGGATTGCAATGGGCAGTTTAAAGAGAAATGTGGCTCCCCACATTTGCCCAGAGGCAAATTTGCTAAATCTGTATCAGAAACATTTCTGGCATGACTCCATACTTTGCATGGTATTTTAAAGGTACTGGTGGTGCGCACCAAGATGGTCTTCTTGTTCCCCTCAGTTCCTGAACTTAGTGCCATTAATTTCCCCTCAGAAAAATATTCCATATACTGTATCTCTTTATTTTCCTCTCTCCTAAAATATTGACTGACAGTCTTCCTGCTCCTAGCATATACAGGCTGAGATAAATATATTGACTATGTACTGCTTTTAGCTCTCACACTGAAAATGTGCTTGATACCATTTGAAAAGTATCTCTTGACTTAGCTTTTCAATTTTTTTTTTATTTTAAAGAATAAAAGAAGGATAACATAATAATAGGGGGGACTTAGCAAATTACAGACAAAATGGTAGGAAATTATCAATGGTTATCGTTTTACGTATTATTATCTACAAAATAGTTTCTCAGGAAAACAAATAGACAAATAATAGTGAGTTAGAGACAAAAGAGGTAGGAGATTATCAAGAGTTGTTGTGCTATACTTTGGTATCTTCAAAGTGGCTTCTAAAGAAAATAAATAGAGCTATACATGAGTGACCTATTGAAAAATCATTAACTATTCTCAATGGTTGTTGTAGGAAACACATAATAATAAACATACATTATGAAATAGGATAGGAACATTACAAACTTAACACAGTTATGGATAGATTAGTAGGAAAATATCAATGGCTGCTGTAATATGTGGTGGTATCTTCAGAGTGGTTTCTCAGGAAGACAGAGATATGCAAGAGGGATCTATTAAGTAGTTACAGCCTAAGGGTTGTCAAAAATAGCATATTACCTCCTCACCAGTGACTCCTTTCACTGAGGTATGATGGCTGGAAGGAAGGCCAGGACTGAAAAGAAGGACCGAGAGACTTGCACCTGTGGCTAGCAGCAGGCTGTTTTCTTGTTCCTCCA